GCCTAATTGTGTAGCCGCCTACGTCTGCGTACTAATATGATCGCCTTTTTATTTTATTGTAGACCAGAATACGAACAGGAAGCTAAGAGAGTTTGTGGAACATTACTGTAATCATCATTCAAATAACGCGAAAATTTATTCATGTATGTCTTCAAACCTTTTACTCCATTGCCGTGCGACTTATACACGCATACCGTAGACCTTGGTACGCAGATATGGTTCACGGGTGTTTGGCAGTTGATATCTAGTCCGGATACAGTGAAAACAGACATTAGTAAAAGAAATGCGAGACTGATTGCGCTTAAGTCGACTCAACGTGATTCGCGGCGACTGCGATTGTGATAGGGGAACCAGCCGAAGGCTAGCTTCATGGTCTGAATATGGGTGGGATAACGAGCAACGAAGTGCCTGTTGGCGTTACAGAAAAGAATCATTAAGCAGAAGAATCTTCGTATCAGAACCACAACTGCACAAACTGTAACAGAAAGGGCCACTTGCAAGCGATCTGCAAAACATTGTTCAAAAAAGGGGTTTTCACACATATCGTCACCATGGATAAAGAATGTCAAGACTTCAGCTATCAAACAGTGTTTCAATAATGTACAAGTTCCAGTGGCTTGAGCATAGAGCTTAATGTTGAAGAGAAAGCTGTTTCGATAATAAAAGACACTGGGACAGTAGTCACAATCAATCCAAAGCATTTTTACGTGGTATTTTCTGCATGTCAAGTGCGTGAAACCAAACGTCTCATGGGCACATACACAAAAAACAGCTCGAAATATTCCAAAAAGCAAATGTCTCCCTGGACGATGAAGGAAATTAGGCCACTTTACCTGCATTGGACGTGAAAGAGAGTGAAACGATAATTTCAGCCCTATTGCGAAGAGACTGGCTGAGAAAACTGTAGATCAACTGGAGCGCAGTACACAGCCTGGCTGCGCACAAACACATTGAGCTCAGGGTACATGCTCACTGGAAAGAGTTTGCCGAGCTATCGCAAGAAACTTTGAAGGTCGCATTCTCGTAAAAAATGAGGTTTACTCAGTGTTCGTTAACGCATGGGCAGTAGCGTTTGCTTTCAAGCATGAAGTACCAATGGAGTGAGGCATTCTCGCGCAGGCTGTAATACTGAATTGGGCAATGAAAAGCGACTGGGTAAAGCCTCTGGCGTTGGCTGTAAAGACAGGTGGCTCAGTATTAGGGTTATGGATTGACTACAAAGATAAGTCGGGTCCTGTGATGAAAACGAACCATTATCTCTTGCCTCTGCCAGCCAGAAGATTGTATTCCACGCTTACTGGAGCCAAGGTCTTCTTCGTACTATATCTATCGCAAGCACACCAACAGATGCCACTTGCTGAGGATAGCAAAGCGTTGCTGCCGCTGAACACGCATTCAGAATTATGTCAGGTGGAGCGTCTGTCATATGGCATCTCCAAGACTCCTGCTATCTTTCGATCATTAATGACTGAAGTCCTGAAAGGTATTTCAAGAGTGGGTTACTATTTATGACGTCATTGTCGTAGGTGATAACGTAGACGATCAAGAAACCCTGGAAAAGGTACTTGAACGGAATGCAAATCATAATATCACCTTAAAAGATCAGAAGTGCATGTTTGAATTAGTCCGCCCCTTAATTTTGGCACAAAGTTATAGCATGTAGTATTTTTCGAACAGCTACAAAGTTAAAGCCCATCTTCGAGGCACTTCAGTCAAGTATCGTCACCGAACAGCGAGATTTCTTGGGCGTCCTGATTCTCTACGGATGGTTCATCAAAGACTTGACTACAGTCACCGCACGAATGTGTGACTGCTTAAGAAATATATTATCTGGCGACAATGGTGGGTGGCGACCGGGTGGCGGAAAAAACGCGTGGTAAATACAAAACACTAATGAGCTAGCCTGAAGTGGTTTCTTCCGATAGAATATTCAGCTTGAACACAAGTATTCAAAACCTGCCGCAAATAAATTTGTGGGGCGAAACGCGACGACACTATTGCGCAGTCATACAAATTATTAATATTATAAATTCCAGTTTCATTAATAATATTAGTATTATTATTAATATTGTTAATATTATTATTATTAGCAAAAATGCATGTGCGTTTTTGTATTCACTACACAATTATCATACACAATCGTCACACCTTTTAGGGGTTTGTGAATATTAAATAGCTAAAAACTTGCAATATTGCTTTTGCGATTTGGTACAAGGTCGAAATGCCCGTATTGAAAATACCAAATATTTTGCGAATATCTTCCTAACTAGCAGAACCAGCAGTGATGCCCTGATAGAATAACACGTTTGGAGATCGAAGGCACAATTTTATTTTGCTTTGATGCCGCCCAGTACAGTGTTTCTGCTCCCTTTGCAGTAGTATCCGTAGATACTAAGGGTCAGATTTCCTCTTCTGCATCGGTTCGAACCAATTATTCTTACAAAGCAGGACAGATGGCCATTGGACTAGCTCAGCTTGATCCACAGAAGACTGATATTTATACGACGTTTAAATCCGCTGCTAGGGCCTTCGCTTCTGGTTCCGTGTGATAGGAAGTTTTTAGAACTCTCGCTCACAAAGAACTCACCCACAACACTATTATTTGGTTCCAGGCTCACCTTGGTTTGAAGGTCAGAGGCCCTCCCAACGTCAACAAGCTAGCCCACTCCATGGCACGAGGCTTCACTTACCGCGCCGGGACTTGTGCTTCTCAGACACAGGAATCGACCCCCAACCTTCATTTTACGGACATTTTGACTACCTTCAACGAGATCACGAAGCACTATCAAATACGACGTAGGTCCTTTCGAATACCACACGAAAAGTTGTCTAGGCCCCAGGAAATATCTTTCGCATGCTTCAGATGATATCATACCCTTGCCTAGTAACATATAACCCGTACTCCGATATTTCATATGTTTCTCCAGACTGCCACAATCGCAGTGATTTTAACCACATGCTCTCTTTACAAGGACCCTCTTTACGGGCCCCTCTTTACAAGGAAAAAAAATGAAGAACCTAAACCTGTTACTCTTCTCGGGACCGATGAGAAGAAACTTTATGTGTTATCACATTTGCGTTGTAGCATTCACCATTCGTCGACGTACACAAAATGTGTATACACGAAAGCAAATCCTAGTTGGCTAAATTGTTAGAAACCACAAGTTATGACATTTTCAAAATGCTGCCAAGAAGACTATTCTTCTAGGTTTACATATAAAACCTGGGCGTGAAAATGTTTTTGAAGATTCTACAAGAAATTTGAAATTGCCAGGCAAACTGCGCATTCTTGAGTAGATTTTCGAAGCACGAGGCTGAGAAAATTTGCTAAAGCATTCTCGCGGTTTGCAAGTCAAGCATATTATTTTTTTCCAGGAAGATTTTCAAATAGAATTTTGCACTAGCTTTCGGGTTATCCACAGGGCTTTATGATATTCCTCCATCTTGAAATATGGAGCCGTAACTATTTTTTATTGATTTCAATGTCAGAAGCTGCATGTTGGACGAATCATTATCTACGATTTGTATCATATTTTCTTTGACACAAATACGCTGCGTGAGATGTGTTTTTGATTGATTGACACTTTAATTACCGATTACCTAATGAAAGGTTTCTGAGCTATTGTTACTATTATTATCACATGAAATTATTCGTGTCATTTTTTAAACAGGTGTAGACGAAATATGACGCGTTATTAGTGTTTCTGAGAGGTTGAAATTTCAGTCATATATAATTTATATAAATTTTCATATGCTACTATACCCATCCTTTTAAATAGCATTGTGTTCAAAGATTGTGGCATGTTATTCGGTTATTCTATGTGCTGATTTTTTTTTTCTGGTGAGCTACATCATGATTGCTTTCCTTGGCCAATCACTGTATATAAAAGCGCGTTTGACCCTTCTCTTCAGAGCACGACATACTTTGACGATTACTGCCTGCTGCTTTCTGCAATTCTTAAGGTAAGAAATGGAACCTTGCATCTGTGAATCTAATTTTATTCGTTCTGCTCTGCATTCTGCCTTGCAGACATTTTAAAGTATTTCGAATCACAATATGCTGACAAGCACGCCCATAATTCTCTCCCAGTCTAGTGGTTCACATTAAAATCTCACCACCACGATCAACACGCTTGAATTTCTAATGTGGCTACTGCATTGTGTACCAGATATATTTGAGAATAGAAATTCCTTGAGTTATTTATTCACCTACATGAAAAAAATATTATGAATATTAGGGCCGTATCGTAGGCAAGGCCCAAATTGTTAGTTCATATAAAACATTTAACCTCATGGATCTTCGGTTTGACCCAACGAGATCTTCTCTTCGGTACATACGCCCTAGGGAATGCAATGAGCGTGCTATATTAGGACGTTCAGTTGTTAAATCAGTCATTAATTACGGGACTTCTCCCCGAAAATAAATCAAGATATTGTGATGTAATTTACTGTGCTGGTTTTAGATATTCATGCAGAATACGCAATCAAGGATTCATTTGACTTCACGCAGTTTACTGAAGTATATGATGCGAGTGATGTAATATTATATAGAAGCAGTCCAGTGTTATTGAACTCACTGTTTACCGTTGACTTTCAGTAAACTTTCGTCACTATTTCATGTAATGATATCATTCTTTTTATCTTATAATGATTTCATTGCTTTGGGTGATTAACACACTGGCGCCGAAATATGGAAGAATCTTGATTTCCTAAATAGGCAGACCAAGCATCAAGCAAGGCTACCCAAGGTCGTGATGCTGCCCCGGTTAAGTTCCAGAGAATTCTTCACGGTGCGAACTTTCCGTGCGTGAAATTTTCATATACAATAAATTTGGTACTTTATAAATCAGAATTGAAGCCCATAATGTTGTTCTCTATTAAAGTTTCATTAGGTATAGTTTGGCGTCTTACAACGTGTTCATTGAATAATTTTTCCTAAGCATTTCTTCACAAATTTTGGGATGTGTGCTTTTCACCGGGGACAACATCATGAGAAGTTGCCAAAAAATCAGTCTCGTAGTGCTTATTGGCACTGTCGTAGGTAGAAAATTTCTGAAATATTGTTATTTACACATTGTATTGTTACGAAGATCATTTGGTATCGCGTAAGATTAAGAATGACGAATGTTATCTTTAGTAAGAATATTAAAGCCACCTGCATAAGGTTGCTTCTAGAAAACTCAACTTCAGGAAGTCTACACGAATGTCACCCGAGAAAGACTAGTCACAAAAAAGCGGAGCGAAATTTAATTAATTTTTAGCGTTTTGCTATCTCATTTGGTCATACACAACGCGCCAAAAACAAATAAGGATAATGAAGATGAGCAGCATCTTGCTGAAATGTGTATATCGACGAAGCGAAATTGACACCATTGCTATAAAAAGCTAGGCCATAAATTAGCATACATGTCGGAGATAACAATAAATGTTTCTGAATATAATAAGTAAAACAAATAACAGATTCCACGTAATGTTGGTATCTATGATATGCAAAGGACGATTTAGAGAGGTTCATATGTAATTTTAAGGTCCGCACAATGCTAGGAGGCGGACGTAAATTATGCTGAACATGACTTGCATGCCACGATTATTATTTTTCCATGTGTAAGTCACTTTCGTAGTCTATTCACGTTACGTGATACAAAATTAGGTGTCACATAACGTGAAATATGGAGCTAGCGAAACGGCTGTGCGGACGCTATGAGCGTAGCATGTAGTCATGATTTGCATCCCACGCACGTCATGACTATTATGTTTGGATGTGTCATTTACCTTCATCGTCCATTCACGTAATGCGAAACAAAATTTAATATAGGTGGAACGAGCCAAAGAGCCGCGTGCGCGCTTTGAGCGTAGCATGTAGTCATGTTTTACATGACATGCACATCTAGATTAATATAACTGGACGCGTCATTTACCTTCATCGTGCATCACGTCACGTAATACCAAATTGGGTATAAGTGGAGCCAGTGAAACGGCTGTGAGCACGACATCAGCGTAGAATGAAGTCATGTCTTACATGACACGCATGCCATGATTATTGTGTTGGGACGTAACATTTACCTTTGCCGTCTATTCACATCAGCTGATACGAAATTTGGTATATATGGTGCCAGCAAAACGGCTGCTTGCACGTTATGTGCGTAGAATGTATTCATCTTTTACATGATTCGCATATCCAAATTATCATCTTTGGAGGTGCAGTTCACGTCATATAATGGGTAACTAATTGAACATATCATTTTAACGCGTCATTCACGCCATATATAACCAATTGTCGTATGTGTGGAGCTAGCGAAACGTCAAGGAGCATGCTAAGAGCGTAGCATGTAGTCATGTTCTACATAACACGCATATCTTGATTATATGTTTGGGCCTGTCATTTACCTTCGTCGTCTATTCACGTCATCTGATACCAAATTTGGTATATGTGGAGCTAGCAAAACGGCTGCGACCGGGCTATGAGTGTAGCTTGTAGTCGTGTTTTACATAACACGCAAGTCATGGTTGTCATGTTTGGACGTGTAATTTACCTTTTTCATTCATTCCCGTCCCGCAACACAAATTTCGTGTATTTGAAGCTAGCAACACGACCACAAGCGTACCATGAGCGTGCCGTGTAGCCATGGCTAGTCATAACTTGAAAGTCATGACCTGAATGTCATGATCACCAGGTAAGGGTTTGTGATTTCTGTTTATAATGCAGCCATGTCATATAGTACTACTTTTGCTAAATATCGTGTGAAAAAAAGCACCTGCAAGGGCATCAAGAATATGAATTCTAAATCATGACATTCATGACATACATATCAATATTTCCATGTTCTGACTAGACAATTATTGTTCCTATACAGTCATGTTAGGTAATATCAATATTGGCATTGATACCATTATCGAGACGGCCAGGAGAGATAAAAGTCGTAGGCGGTTTGATAGATATGCTCGAAGTCGTCGAAGTTGGCGAAGAAATGCTTCGCATTTGAAAGTGGCATTTACCACACATAGCGGTTCGAATAACACGATAGTGAAACGTCTCTTTAGAAACCTGCCGGAGCATTTATGTGCAATACTTCAAGAACAGAAAAAATTACAAAGTCACTTTAAGAACGGCAAGCAGCTCAAAACTTGCAAAATCAAAAATCTATATGGGAGCCGACAGATGAAAACACGTAGTGGGATAGTCAGGTTGAACTGTAGAAGTGCCTTGGACGAGCTGGCCGACGTTTCGATAGAAGAACCTATCTTCGGCAAAGGCACCTTGTCATCTTTCGCGTGTTAGCTTTAAGAAAGTTAAGAGTGATGTCATATTCGGGTGCTGGCGCGGGTCCCTGTTGGCTATTGCCGTCTTGAAAAAGAAAAACTATAGATCAGAGGCATGCAGTCGTCATTAACTTCAAATTAAAAATATTCTTGGAGGATGGGGTAAGACAGAGAAAGAAAAGAAGAAAAAAAGAAAAACAGAGAAAAAAGAGGCAGAAAAACACGCAAACTAGGAGGGATGTGCTGCAAAGCAGTGTCCGCTATAGACACAAAAAATTTGAAGAGCTTGAAAGTTTTATGCCCACAGACGGTTGCCGTGTCCGGCGACTACAAAAAGTTTCCGACGATAGCGATTAACACCTGTTCTCGAAATATGATGAGTGCTACTCATAACAAGAAACGTGGTTACAATAGAAGAGGGGGCTGGGTGGGGAGGCAGCGTACTATTATATGCCAATATGCCGAAAGTAAGTGATGCCGGATGGGGTCGGAAGATCACGTATTTAATGTGGACGGTCATTGGCGAAAATATCTTTTGGGTATCCTCGTCGGTGGCCCGCTCAGCGAAATTGCCTAAAGAATTTATCGGCATGTTGGCTGAGAAAAAGGATAATTGAGAATGCAACGGAAATGAGCAACGACGAAAAACACACAAAGAAAAAAAGAAAGAAAAAACGGAATAGATGAGGCGGGGTGGAATTAAAAGGGACGCTAAGGTTAACAAACGGGAAAAAAAAGATGCAGGGTGGAGGTGACACAGGGAACTTTTTGTGTTGGGAATGACTAACGATGCGCGGCGGGTTGGTTTTAAAAGTGAGAAAAAAAAGCAGTGGCTGATATTTCTAGAAATCAAAAACTTCGTAGTTGTATATAGACACAAGCATATATATATTTAAAATGAAAAATAACAGAGAATAACAATGGTACGATTTGTAGACTAGGAGAGATTTTATGTAATACCAGTTATGTCTATTTGAGGGCTGAGTGTATCTGTCTTTGTAAATATTGCTCCAATTGTGCTATGGCCTTAGAAACTCCAAATTGCCCCACGATGCATTGATTCCGGATGGGTGTATCGACTGAGTGACTGAAATTTGTGTATCAAATATGATTCCGTGCATTTAGTTTTTCGAGGTGATCGTAAATTAGTTCGTAGAAGGTGGAGCTATGCTTGGTCGACATTGAGGTCCTGTGGATTGAAGTGAGCGGCTACGACTTTTGGTAAACTGTGCTTTGTGTCTGCACGGTGGTCATTCAGTCGTACATGAATTGGTGGCCGAGTATCGGCTATATAATATTTCCCCAAGAGCCACACTTGAGACAGTATAGTCGGTTGGTACAAGTAGAGGTGAAGCTTGATGTCACCTTGTGGATGTAATCAAATGTTGTGCTTCTACGTTAGTTGCCAGCTGTATATGTTTGCAGGCTGAGCATCTCGGCCAGCTATAGGAGCCAGACGTTGTTCTAGTCTTTGCTTTAAGTTTTGTGTGAACAAGCATATCCTTGCAGTTAGGTCGCGTCTGTAGACGACCTAAGGCGGTTTGGGAAAGCATTTTCAATGTTTCTGGTTGGTAGTTGAAATTGGACAATATTTTGTGAGGATGTTGTTTATCTTCAGGAAAGCATTAGAAAACTTTGTAATGAGAAGAGGCGTAGTTGCTGTTGGTGTGCTTTAAGAGCACGGTTGTAGTGCTTCGTTGCGGTACAGTTCCAGAGCGTCCGTGTAGTCTTTGTAGAGGAATGGGCGAGGTTTGTTTCTTTCTCTTATAGATCGATTAAGGCGGTAAGTCTGTTTACGTAATCTTCGTTTTTTACGCATATGCGGCGTAAGCTTCTTACCTGACTTTTGAAAATGCCCTGTTTACAGTATCCCTGGTGGTAGCTTGTATATTCGCGTTATTGTTGCTTGTCGAATGTTTTTTTTTCACAGAGTTGACTTTAGTACACCATATTCAAGATAAATGGTGGTGTCTAAAAGGTTGATGCGCTTAGTAGAGGTATCGGAGGTGAACTTTATTGTTGTATGAAATGAGTTCTGCAATGAAGTGAAATTATCTAGGTTTTGCGCCCATGTCCCCATAATATAATTATGTCAGCTAAATACCATAAGTACGTGTCAGGTTTCTTCTTACAGTGAGACAGGATTTCGGTTTCTAGAATTCCGATGAATATATTCGCTAGGTGGGAGCAAAGGAAGTACCCACGCTTTTTCTTTTATTTGGAGGTAGTAGTTTTTCTCGAATTCGAAACAGTGATGTAAAAGCACTAATTTTGCTAGTGTTAAATATACTTCAGTACAATGTTGTGCGTTCTGTTCGAATATTGTTAGCTCAACTGCAGCAAAGCCCTCGGTGATATAGATATTGCCCAATCGTTTTCATAAGAAGGTAGTGAAACGGCCGCTAGCGCATCGTGAGCATAGCATGTCGTTATGTAGTTACATAACCCGCATTTCATGATTATCTTGTTTGCACCAGTCACATACTTTCGCCATTCATACACGTCCCATATTACCAAATTCTGTATATGCAAAGCTAGCGAAACGGCCGTGAGAACATCATGAGTGTGGCATGTAGTCATGCTGTTACAAGCAGGCATGTCATGATTGATATGACACATGTTGTTACATGACACGCATATCACGCATGACATGAAACGCATGTCGTGTGTGTTCGCCATGCCGTCATGTCATACCATACCAGTTTTGCAACATATCAAATGAATAAAACCACCGCAAGAGCATCAAGACTATGGTATGTATATCATCACATTTATGACATACATATCATAATTTTTAGGTTAGGACTATTAAGTTATGTTCGTAATACAGTCATGTTATATCACACCAGGTTTGGTATTGATACTAAAATCTAAACGGCCAGGAGAGCTATAAGTCGCAGGCGGCTAGATAGATAGATAGATAGATAGATAGATAGATAGATAGATAGATAGATAGATAGATAGACAGTTGACAGATAGATAGATAGATAGATAGATAGACAGATAGATAGATACAATCAAAGTCGCTAAACTTTGCCAAGACACGTTTTGCATGTAGAACTTATCTTTATAACTGCGAGATGGAGGCACAGCCTTTTCGCTAAGTAGGCGTACATATGATTATGAACTGAAATAGCTGTGTAGCTAATTTAGAAACGAACACGATTCAGTACGCTGCGTAAACATATCTATGTACGAGTAAAGCCCGAGGGCGTAGGCTTATGATATTGCCTGTTTTTTTACTAATATATTGATCATTGCGTGCTTTAAACGTTCACGTAACACAACGCGCGACCATCATGCATTTGTTTTTGTTTTCAGCGGCGCTAAGTATGTGCCCTCTTGCAACCAGCCTGGAAGTCATGTTCAGGCCGCGCACAGAAGAGATTGAAGATGCAGCTCAATGAACCACCGCAACAATTATGTTGAGTTTGCCTGTTCAGCAGACCCGAAACGAAAGCTGAAATCAGCCTTGAAATAAAGCATTGAGCCTGAAAATTTCTTGTTGTTTTACATTTATTTAGGTATTTTAATAATGTAATGTAATACATTGTTTATAGTTTATTTATTTATATTCTTCGGTATACAAATTGAGGTTGGAATAAGAGTCATAAGGAACTGACCTGAAACGGCGAAAGTGGTTAGATGGCAACCGGCAATCTATTGAGTATACTATATAACTGCTGCGTATACTATATAATGGGTATTCAGTCAGATGTTCCTGTATACGAGCGTAAAGTATGACACTGTGTCAAGAAAACTGCACAATATGTTCGCAAGCATTTAATAAACTCACTCATTTATTAATTTCAAACGTTATACCTACCCGTGGCAGCCCAGTGCTAATAAATATAGCAAAGTTTCCTCTTAATAGCTAGAAGAGTTTGGTAGAGCCTTCGACAAAATAAATACTCAGCCAACTATGACCCCAAATGCTTCTTAGATGCATTGTTTGATATGCAGTAGTCGTGACAATATGCTAAATTTACACAAACAATAATAGCATTTATATTAACAAAATTTTACCGTGCTACGTGCTTGCGCATGCAAATGCGAATAAAATGAAACAACAAAATGGCGCTCAAAACAAGAACTGCTTTTCTTACTGCAAAGCTGCGACCACGGGTAGGTATAACGTTTGAAATTAATAAATGGGTGACTAAATAAATAATACCAGTGTTTTTCGAAACTGGAAGTATGCTAGAGTACGAGTGGGCGAATATTCGAAGATTTCAGATAACATATCGAGTAACCTCTTTTTCGTGTCGGTACTTAAATGAAATTCTGAATATTTTAAAGAAAGAATATTTTGCGAATAAGCAGTGAGGAGAAATGCCCCAGAGAACGAGACGTTGAAGCAACGAGAAGTAGTGGGTTTATTTAATTACTCGGGAGGTGCATGCAATAATGTAAATAATGACTATCCATGCTGTACTGAATGCAATTTGACGACCTTTTGCTTGACCCACCAGTGTTTTAGAAAAAGGGAGTCTAATTATACCCTTACTTTTTCCAGGATAATTATAACAACGTTTAGTCACAAAAATTGCATAAGATATCTGCTACAAAGTTATAAATATAGGCAGATCTCACGTGCTGTGAGAATTTATGATATGCAAAGCACGAATGAGAAAGGTGTATATATAATTTTAACATCAGCACAATCATAACCCAAAACCCATGGCACTGGTCCAGCGCCATACCTGATTACTGGACAGGTTTGGCGCTGACACTGAGACAGTGCCACGTTGCACGAGGCACGCTGGCACTGCACACTGGGACAACCATTATCGGCCGAAATATGGCTTTTAGTTTGTTTTTCAAATTCTTGATCATGCGCACATCGTATTTAAGGGTGAAACACGCGCGCAGAGAAAAAAACTATGAAAAAAGTGAGTGAGCCAGAGTCGAACCTACTACCTCAACACATCACACATTTTGAGCTTGACATACTGCCCACTACTCTATACCTGAAAGATGAAAATAATTGTATTTTTTCATCTTAAAAGAAATTGACGTATCCAATAATTTGATTATGCCGTTTACATAGGCAGTGCTTGGTCTCTTCGTGCTCGCGCTAAACAGGTGATTGTTAGCTTAGTTTTTGCGGGTTGCCTTGCATCACATTCATCTGCCACGTTTTGACGCAAAGCTTCTTAGCGTAACTGCAGATGTGTCACGGCAATCATAGTGACTTGCTATGCGGCTAGAATTACGTATGTAGAAAACAGCGTTCATCAGTACTGCTCACTTAACACTGTAGATTTTGTCACTCGATAGTTTGGAAGTATTTTGCGTCCTACTCGTTTGCGTTACGCGTACGACATCCGCAGCACTTCACTCTAACCGAAACGACTGCTAGGCTTAGGGCCGTACTTCTTGTACCAGGGCTGCTGTGAGGATCGTAGATATTCAGCTGGAAAGAGTCTAGTAATCGTTAAAGTATAGTTTAGATCAAAACCGACCCATGAATGTTCATATTTTGACCTTCTGTATCGCAAAAACCAGTGGCACTGGCCCAGCGCCAAACCTGATTACTGGACCAGTGTCCAGTGTGGCGCTGACACTGGGCAACCTTTTTAGATATGGTCAGCTGACAAAGCACGTGGCTTTCCGGCGGTGCGGAGCAGCGTACTGCAATCGCCAACCAGACGGTGGCGCTGCGGTAGCGTTGAGATCAGTCTTGCTGCGTCGTCTGCAATTGCTGGAAAGGCGCTGGCAGGCGTCTACGACGTCGTTTGGAAGCACAAGCGTAACTTCGCTCGCACGTAATCTCGCTTTAGCGAAAAGTGCTTTTTTCGTTGTATCTCAACGTTATAACAAAAAAAACTGCACACACGCACAAAAAGAGAGAGAAGCAAGGAGTGCACAGCGCCCTTACCTTCCTTCATTCTGCGTCACATTGTAACCAGCGCTTATTCTTCGCCATTGCGCGTACAAATCGTTCCAGGATCCCATAATGCCCAATCATATTCTAACTTTACTAGAACACGCATTACACGGCCAATATCTGCTGCAAAGCCTTGAAAATCAACAAGCAAGGAATCAAGAAGAAATGGCCGCATATTCGCGGAGTGAATGATGGAGAATGGGGCGAAGCACTCGTCCGTCCAATCGTTCTTGCTTCCGTCCGTCCATGCGTCCGTCCGTGCGACCGTCCTTGCGTTCATCTGCCCATCTGTGTGTGCGTCTGTTCGTGCGTTCGTCCCTGCGTTCGTCCATGCATCCGTTTTGCGTCCGTTAATGCGTCCATCTATACATCTGTCTGTGTGTCAATTCTTCCATTTATTCAACACTCCAAGTACCACCATCTCGCATTTTTTCATCATATATTCCCCGTATAGAAGCACCGCCATCCAGTGGACTATACAAGGACTAAACGTGAGGTGGCACACGCACACTTTCTTGTGGCTTGCGCTTCGGGTGTACTTCCCAGCTTTAACCACCTCGAGTTCATGGTATATACTAGTTCACTGTATTCAAAGCACGGCGGCCCAACGCTCACTAAAGATTTCTAAAACCAAGGAGGTTACGCCCAGCGAGTATAACGTAGCAACCTTTTTCTGTCAGATAGTGCTCAATGGAAATGCCAATGTCTGCTAATGGAAAATGAGAGACATGAGAATTCGGCTTTTACATTCTTACGGCTTGCGCTTCATATCTACTTCCCACCATTAACCACCTCGAGTTGATGGTGTATACTAGTTCATTGTATTCATGTCACATACCTGAAGCTTTTTCTTCAGGTATGTGACATGCGAGCTCCAGGTTAGTTCAAGATCTACGATGACACCTAATATTCTTATGAGTGCTCTTATACGGGAATTATCTGCCATCGATGCACAATGAGTAGAAAGACATCGGTTTGCGTGTAAACGCCACCGCTGCGCATTTTTCTGTGGCGATAGTCAAATCTTGCTGGCGAAGGTATGTCGATGTCATTGTTGCAGCTTTCTGTATTCTTGCGCGCACTTGAGGCCGTGTCACGCCGGATGCCCAAATGTAGATATCGTAAGCGTAGAGAGATATATAAGCCGTCTGGGCAGCATTTCCGTGAGCCCCACGAGAACCAGGTTGATAAGAGTCGGACTCAAAACACCGCCTTATGGAGCCCCACGACTTGTGAAATACTTATTCGTAGACCCCTCTTCAGTTAGAACGAACATGGATCTCTTTGTGAGGTAGCTTCCTACGCATCGACAGACACGACCTCCAAGTTCAGCTGCTTCAAGAGCATTTAGAACAGCCTCGTTGGTCACGTTGTCATAGGCACCCTTCACGTCTAAGAACAGAGCTACTGACAGCCGCTTCTGTGCTTTCTGACGCTGAACAGAGGTCACTAAGTCAATAATGCTATCAACTGAGGACAGACCTCGTTTAAAACCAGCCATAGCATCAGGATATATGTTATAATGTTCCAGGTACCATTCCATGCGTGTGAGCAGCATCCTCTCCATGACCTTGCCAACGCAGCTTCCTAGTGCTATAGGCCGGTATGATGCCAAATCGAATAGAGATTTTCCGCGCTTCAGCAAAGGCACCAGGCAACTACACTTCCACTCATCAAGCACCATTACATCATGCCAAGACTTATTGAAAATGTCCAGGAGACAGCGCTGTGCCTTCGGGCCTAGGTGACGTAGGGCAGTATAGGTCACTCAATCCAGACCTGGGGACCATGAGGATCTGCATGTGTTTAATGCCGCATGAAGTTCTTCCATGGTGAATGCAACCTCCATTTGCTGATCTCGTGTGACCGGAACATCTTGTGGCAATAGATCGATCGGTATAGAGATGTCGCCGGCGATCTTTGCACAAAATTCACCAGAAACACCAAGCTGTGAGCGACGTTGATGTAGCGCCAGAGTGGCAAATGGATGAAGCTGTTGCGGATGCGAGTGAATACCTCAAAGAGTCCTCCATACGGGAGACAAGGGCTTTGGAGGGTCTGGTGAGTCACGAAAATTCTTCCACCGTTGTTCATGAACTTTGTGCATTTGACGATGGATTTTTTCTGAATGCGTCTGGATTCTCTGAGGTCAGAGATAGATTTCGTGCGTCTGTATCTCAACGGAAGTGGCAATGGCTGCTAAGAGGAAATGAGAGACAGGACAATTCGGCTTTTTCTTACGGCTAGCTCTTCGTATCAACTTCCCACCTTCACCCACCTCGAGTTTATGGTATATACAAGTTCATTGTATTCTTGGCACTGTGGCCCAATGCTCGCAAAACCTTTCTAAAACCAAGAAGGTTACGCCCAGCGAATATAACGCAGCATCCTTTTCCTCTCGGATAGTGCTCAACTTAAATGCCAATGGCTGCTAATGGGAAATGAGAGACAGGAGAATTCGGCTTATACCTTCTTATGGCTTGCGCGTCGTATCTATTTCCCACCTTTACCCACGTCGAGTTCATGGTATGAGCTACGGTGGCGGCCACCCCTCTGTACTTTTCTTGGCATTATTGTCTGGTCTCTTCTCATTAACATTGGTCTAACA